TACTCAACATGTCCAGCAGAATCTCTCCCAGATGGTGGACTTACTGAAATACGATTGGGAGACATACACCCTCTCATTTCAGCTGCCTAGTCCAGTGATGGCGAACCTATGACACGCGTGTCAGAGGTGACACGCAAACTCATTTTTTTGGTTGATTTTTCTTTGTTAAATGGCATTTAAATATATAAAATAAATATCAAAAATATAAGTCTTTGTTTTACTATGGTTGCAAATATCAAAAAATTTCTATATGTGACACGGCACCAGAGTTAAGTTAGGGTTTTCCAAAATGCTGACACGCTACCACCTCCACAGACAAATGTAACAGTTTCTGGTTAGGGATGATGAATTTTTAAAACCTTGGGCCATACTCAACATGTCCAGCAGAATCTCTCTGCTGACATTTGAGTAATCAGAGGTTCCCCCCAATCAGAAATTAACACTGACAGGGACACAAATACCATAGAGTCATGACATGTCAGGCCTGTGGTCTTCGCACCAGAAGATTCCCTAGCCACATGTTGCTTGCCTAACTAGTGTGCCAGAATGGGTTAGGTGTTTTTGCATACATTTATTTCATTTTTTCTCCAAACCATTTTTAGGTATGGAGATCATCTGATTAGACCAGTGGTTCTCAACCTTCCTAATGCCACGACCCTTTAATACAGTTCCTCATGTTGTGGTGACCCCCAATTTCATTGTTACAAATTGAACATAATTAAAGCATAGTGATTAATCACAAAAACAATATGTAATTATATATGTGTTTTCCAATGGTCTTAGGCGACCCCTGTGAAAGGGTTGTTCAACCCCCAAAGGGGTCGCGACCCACAGGTTGAGAACCACTGGATTAGACTGAGACACCTAATGTGTCAAAGCATACTGTACCTGCATAGCAAAATCAGAATTTGACCCCATTTCTTAAAACTCCAAGTTATTTTTAAAATAGATTGTAAATTCTTTAAAGGCAGAGAGACTTAACATCTGAAAGGCTTTAAGGTGCCAGACTCTCGACTTGGTACTTTCCGACTGCGTGGTTCACATAGGGGTAGGCACATAGCAACACTTACTGAGTATTTATTGCTTAACATGGGCTAGAAACTGGAGAATGGAAGTTATCCTTGAAGGAAGGGGGGCAGGTAGGAGTTTCTAGCTTGAGAATTAGTAACCATGCTCTTAACCTTTCTCCCTTGCAAATCTCTTCACTGTCCCAGGATAAATGGGTGGGTACACAAGTATGTCCAGGATGGAGGGGTGGAAGGGAAGGAGGTAGCTCAGTCTGTGAGGGAGGACGTGTGAGGCTGAGAAACTGGAGAAAGAACCACAGGATGTCCGGGCCTGTGGTTGTGGCGCTCCACTAATTACCCGAGATTCCTCAAGAATGGAGAAGCCAGAGGCCGAGGCAGTGACATGGAAGCACAGGCAGGGTTTACCAGTGTGTCAAGTGGTCTAGGTGTTAGGGCAGCGCAGACTCCTGGCTGTCACTGCCTTTGTATCTGGCCCACCCAGCTGAGCACCCAGCTAGCTCTTGTCCCCGAGTGTTTCCCTCTAAGGGCAGGCCCTGTGACTTGCACTCCATTTAGCACATGGATGCTCAGCACATCCCTGTTGACTCATACATAAGGTGCTGTTCTTTGCTCTTGGTCTGAACACCGAAGGGCTCACCATTCACTGTGACCGTGAGGAAAAGGCACCATTCACACCCGGGCGTGTTTCACTGCTGCACGTTCTGCTCCAGTGGAGGCCAGAAAACTGCTCGCTGTGCCTGTGGGGGCACCATGCCAGGTAAGGAGGGCCGGTCGCTCTTGAAAGTCCTTCCCCTCTGGGACCATCTCCCAGCAATGGGAATTAGCACGGGCACTAAGTTTGGGATATTCTGCCTTAGGATTTGTTTCTAAGAAATATAGTTTGTGGCCCTGGCTGGTTTGGCTCAGTGGATGGAGCGTTGGCCTGTGGACCAAAGGGTCCCAGGTTCAATTCCAGTCAAGGGCACGTACCTTGATTGCAGGCTCCTCCCTGGCCTGGGCCCTGGTCAGGGGCATGTGGGAGGCAGCCAATCGATGTTTCTCTCACATCGATGTTTCTCCCTGTCTTTCCCTCTTTTCCACTCTCCCAGAATCAATGGAGGAATATCCTTGTGTGAGGATTAACAAAACAAAAAGAAAGAAAGAATATAGTCTGTGGATACAAGTACCACAGTTCTAGAACTTTCATTTAAAGCTTTGTTCTGAACACTGAAACAGCAAGCTTACAAGTTCTGAGCTCTTTTCATTTTGATACAGTTCACCAATCCCATGAGCCCTGCTTCTCCCTGGATGCTTGGTTTCCCGTTCTGCCCTTTCCAGCAGCCGGGCAGGATAACAAATGTTAACCCATCCTGTTCCTTTTACTAGTAAAAGGTTAAAGAAGTTCCAAACGAGGCAGGGATGGGGATTGGATGATTAAACCAATTGAACCAGGTCTGACTCTTTTCTCAGGGGTAAGGGGTCAGCTCAGGCAAGAGATCTGTTTTTAAAAGCTTTCTATTGTGTCCTTACTCCAATGGTGGGCCTTAAGTGTGGCTTTTGCACCCTTTGCTATAAACATTTTAGGATCTATCTTCCTTTTTATTTCCACTACTCTATCCTTCTCTTTTATTTGTATTATTTCAGAGTTAAAATCTAAACCAGTTCATCTCCTTGAGTTAGCACAATGTTAAAGTAACACTCTTCTCAGAACTTCAGCTAGCCTTACTTGATTTGCTGTCATCAGTCCTGGGAGTCCTCCTGACTACAGGGGCATCTGATAGTTTGTTCCCCTCACCAGGTTTTTATTAGATGTTTTCACATCCAGGAGTTGGAATGTTGCCAGGAGTTGTAATTTCCATGGTAACCGCTGGACTTCACTCTGATGGTGTTTTTCCCTCTCCTCTTTGTATGGCACAGGTGGGTACCTAGGCTGTGGCCATGGACACAAAGGCCACCCAGGTCGTCCCCACTGGTCATGCTGTGGGAAGTTTACTGAGAAGTCAGAATGCACGTGGACAGGTGGGCAGAGCACAGCAAGGAGTCTACTCAGGACGGTGGCACTCTGACGGTTTCCTAGGTCAACCCGCTAAAGCTGCAGCCAGCACAGCTTCAGATCACCAGAAGACCGCGGACCTCGATTAATTCTGAAGAAACGCATAGAATTAAACACAAAGTGCCTTATCTAGATGCTCGAGCTCAAATACTTTTTGTGAGTTATTCACTGATTGTATGTGTGGACGGTTGAGCACAAGACACCACCACTATATGTCAAAGGAGGCTGTCTTCTGTTTGTATGGGTATGAAAGTACCTATGCCCTTAAACTTCAAGATCATGGGGACAGTGTAGTTACTCTTGTCACTAGCTAGTTAATAAGAGGAAAGGGAGGCCAGATATTATAAGCGTGGCCATCTGGGCGCTTCGCCAGGAAGCTGCAATTTCACACTCTCCAGGGGACCACCGTTCCATTCGCTGCAGATCACTGGGGGGAGGGGAAGATGGACACATACACAATAAAGTCGGGGTGATGCAGGAAAGATGCCTGTCTGTCAGTCAAACCTAGGAACAGGATCATTGACTAGAGGGTGAAATCACTGTAAGTGCACAAAATATTAAGGTTAAACTCCCGAAAGGAATTCTCTCTTATTCCTCGTTTCTTTTGCTCTGTTCCTGCTTCCCTGCACTTTCCCGTGTTCCCTCCATAGCCCTGTGGCCCTAGCCATGCAGACCCGCACGCAGTGGACTGCCACTGGGAATACAGCTAAGCTAGCCTGGCACACTCCCCACTGGGGATGTGCCTGCAACCAAGGTACATGCCCCAACTGGAATCGAACCTGGGACCCTTGAGTCCGCAGGCCGACGCTCTATCCACTGAGCCAAACCGGCTAGGGCTGGTTCCTTACTTTTTGATAATTAACCTTTTTTTATTTCTCCCTGAGGTACATTTTATATAGATATTTTCTACAGAATAAACACCTTTTACCGTGTCCACTTTTCACTAGCACAATTTCAATGGATTGTAATGTGAGCTTACTGTTTAGATGGAAGTCCCCTTCCTCCCCCTCCATACCACGTTCATCTCGTACCCCCAGAGCCTAGATAACTACTTGGTAAGGGCACACAAGTAGGAAGTAGATAAAGGGAAGTGGTGTTGAAAGAGAACCTCATACCTTTACTGCAGTCCTGCTCCTGCCAGGCGATCATGCTTCTGCTCAACACCTTCCAATGGATTCCCATGGCACTCAGAACAAAGCATGTAGATGACCTGCTTTTCTCTCATTCCCTACCCGCCCGCCC